TCTGGCCAATGAAGGGGGGGGAGGGCGGCGCAACAATTCGAAATTCGACCTCGGAACGTCCAACGTCTGGAGCGAAGACGTCTGCAAGGTCCCACGCGTCGAGGCGCAGCGGTGACATCCCTGTCCGACGGGGGTCTGCCTCATCGTGGCGGACAGGTCCAGTACCCACGTCTCACATGGGACGTGGGGAAGCCAAAAGACCCCCAACCGACGCCTGCGGGCAAAAAGCGCATGGCGGCGATCGCTGTGTGTGCGTGAGCCGGGCTTGAGATGAACAGTTGAGGTAGAACATGTTCCAAGGCCCCGTAAGAAATACCCATTGTGGACATTTGCAAGGTTCAAGCCGAATCAGACAAACACAAACGGTTGTAACAGATATAGACACGCACAAACACACAGACGTGAAATCTGTTTGTTTCCTTTTTTGTGGGGTCAGCAGAGGAGCAGTGCCTGCAGTCAAACTGCTCCAGCTTAAGGCCAGGGAGTGTTTGCAGTCAAACTGCTCCAGCTTAAGGCCAAGCAGTGTCTGCAGTCAATCTGTGCCAGCTTAAGGCCAGGCAGTACCTACAGTCAACCGGCGCCAGCTCAAGGCCAGGCAGTGCCTGCAGTGAACCTGTGCTAGCTGCAGGCCGGGCAGTGCTTGCAGTCCAACTGTTCCAACTGGAGCGTTAGCACTTTAGCGATGAACTGTGGGAGGGCGAGCCACCAGGTGAAAGGTCGGAGGAAATGAAGATGTTTTGACAAAGGTTTGAAAAACGATGCACTGGCTCACATCCAAGGTTTTTGCACGTGGACCCTTCCATTGTTTCACAAGGGAAGATAGCCCGTCCAAAGCACATGCGTGTTTTTCTTATGTTGCCATAACTTCCCATAGGAAAAGATTTCATGTCTAAAACGATCCATCTCCATGTCCATCCCCACAGTTTCCATGCTCTCCAATCTTGGTTCGGTTCCACCAGGCGGGATCTCCGGATGGGTTGCGGAGAAGTGGAAAGCCACAGGCGGCCCTGGCTCTTTGGTCGAGTTCGCAACGCTTGCGACATGTTGCTTCTATGTGTTTTTTGGACCGGTCTAACGGGCATAGTGCACGACAGAAACGGATCGTCGGAGTGCCGTGTGGTGCCATAACATTTGTTCCCTCAGAGTGCAGCGCGACCTGAGTCAGACGTCAAACCTGGAGACCAACAGCCATGGGCGGCCGTGGAAAGAAGGGTCAAAAGCAGAGCCAGCAGTGGCAGGAATGGGCCAAGGGCAAGGGCATGGGCGCGCAAGCGCCTGAGGCGGCGCGCGCACTGCCGAAGGAAGCTTGGTACCATAACGACATCCTCCGGGCCTATCCCTCCGAACATGGCGACATGTTCGTGAAGCGGGGTTATGCGAAGCGGGATGCAGACCTCCTGTCCCTACAAGGGATGGCCACAAGGCTCAGCTCGGAAAACTGGGAAGGCTCCCGCCGTCCGGCGCGCTGGGTGACGATGCTGGTCGGGGCTCTCAACCAAGCAAGCCAAGTGATCCCTTACGCTGTGCAAAATGAAGAAAAAACGGGCCTGCCGGACATCGCCACCAGCTTTGAGCCAGAAGTACAGGCAGTGGTGGAGGTGCTCGGTGTCGCCGCAAAGGCAGTAAAGTCTCCGGAAGAGGTCCGTGCAGCCGTGGTGAACCTGTTGACCTACGTGGGGAACGAGGACCGGGTCGAAGCGTGGCAGCGCGCGGCGCTTTTGGGTGCCAACCTCTACGTCAGCGCCATGCAGATCCTGGAGGCGGGTCGGGTCAGCCCGAAAAAGTAGTGACCAAGTGCCTTCGATTTGCCCTTGCATCAGAGATTTGCGCGGTTCGTGCCAGGATGAACTTGATTTATAGCATACCAAGATGCCTCGGAATCTGGCTTCCCCCTAGGTCAGGCAATTCGACGCGTCGTTCCGTCGCCGACGCCGCCCAGGCTGGCGCCATGATGAAGCACCGGGATGCGTGGGCCACGGAGCTTGCGAAGCACCTAGCCGTGCTGCCTGCGCCTGTCCGCCTCGTCGTCCAGAACCCAGCGTCAGACCTTGCGTTGGTCGAAGCTCTCACGGCGTGCATCCTGGCAGAACAGGGTGGTGCCACAACCAGCAGCGCGCACGGCGACCCCCTGGCCGGGGGGCGGTGGGACGCCGAAACTGCGACCGGCGCGGAGCGGCCGGACCCCTTGGGAGCCACAACGTCGGAACCGACCCTGTTCGGACAGAAAGCAGCCGGAGGCCTGCAAGGCATTTCTTATTTGCTTTTCCACGGCATTGGCACAAGATCTATATATATTAAGACATATTTTGTGAAAGAAACCAAAAGGTTTTTTCCAAGGGTGAATTTTTCTTGGTCCTCTTCGGCAAAGAAGCAAAGACGTTCTAGTGTTTGTTTTCCTGAAAGAGTCGGTACTGGTGCGCGGAAAAGGATTGCAGGCTAGAGTCCGGATAGAGTCGGGTCCACATGGCTTGAGACACGCAGCACTATTCTTGCAGCGCCAGATTCACTCACCATGTTATGGATCGAAACACAACATCCTAGAGATACATATTTTTGTTCAAACAGCCAAGCTGTCGATGGAGGGTATGGTCCGAAAAAAACACGTGTGGCATATTTGTTCGTATTTGGTGTCTAGTATTTTCCAAGGTAAAGGCATTATATATACACTCCCTGTGGAAGAAACGAGAATGTTTAGTTTTGCGAATACACGGCAGGCTCGGCGCCGGGGCTCTTTCAGCAGAAGCGCTCCGTGCCCGAGAGTACTGCGGCACCGCCGTCGAAGTTGGCAAAGACGGCCTCGAAGGCAGGGAGCCCCGTGACGCCGCAGAAGAAGGCCGCAGCTGCCGCACCGGCAGGACTGAGCTTGCAGAAGTCTCCAGGGGCCGTGCTCACGCTCGGACAGCGAGCGCGCAAAGAGCAAGAAGCCGGCTTGGCCAAGTTCGAAGCTTTCTTGGCCAGCGGGGACCCCAGCGCAGAGCAGGCAGAGGAAGCGGTGGGCTTCGTGGCTGCGTTGGAGCAGCAAAGGTTCGGCTTTGGCATGGCCGAGGACTTGAAGCAGGGAGGGTTATTCCTCGTAGCTTACACAAGCCTGAAGTTCCCGCAGGACCAGAAGACCGAAGAAGTGGACAGTTTGGTCAACCAACTGAAAGGGGACGATGTCCCCACAGCAGTGTGTGAGGCGCTGCTCCGGAAGGAAGCTTATTTCTTCAGCCGCCTCTTTCCGGCGGGGCAGCTGGGTGCTTTTGTGAAGACCCTTGTGACCGTGTGCAACGCGGCAAATCCAAAGTCTGCGGACCTACACACCATTTTGGACCTACTCGGCCCAACAATCCGTGCACTCCTCAGCCTTCCAGCGCCTGTGAAATACTTGAAACAAAAAGCACACACATGGCAATCTGACCTGTCCAAAGCAATTGCCGTGGGCATGGCCGCTACGCGCGGCACATACGGGCATTTACTTTTTGCCGAGCAGGAGGTGCTGGAAGAAGTGCCCGCGGGCGAAGACGCAGGAGACGAAGAAGACGAGGAAGACAAGGGGCAGGAAGACCTCGGCTCGGCCGTGGGCGTGACCGAAGCGGAGCCCGTGGGCGAAGGGGCAGGAGAGGAAGAAGATGAGGAAGACGAGGTGGAGGAAGACCTCGACCTCGGCTTGGCCCTAGCCTCCTGAGTGGGCTGCGAACGTTGAGTCTTCCGTGGCCTAGAGGCGCCCAGGTCAGTGGACCACGGCGGGTTCCGGGCAAACGAACCCGTTCCGGCCACCCCCGAAAAGGCTTGCATGTGTTTAGTTTGTGTGATTTGGACAACAAAAGCTTACTTTTCGAAGCAGAGTCCTAGTGATGTTGCCAAACAGACGTAACCTGATTTTTTCGGGGCCTGAACAGCGTGGCCGGTGCGGTGCGTGTCCCGAAGAGGTCCTCGGCTGGGCGTCCTCGTCGTCAATGACTCACAGCGCTAAGCAAGTGTTCCTTCCGTAGTTTGTTCCGGCTCTGTTCATGTAGCTTAGTCACGGCGGCGAGGCCCCAGCCGAGGACCTGAGAGTGAGAGAAGCCGAGAGTACGTGCGACCGGCAACGGCGCGCAGCAGCTTCCCACGTGATTGCCGTGCTCAATGTGTGTGTGTGTCGTGTGGAGTAACAATGAAAATGTCAAAAGCAGCAATACCAGTGCAAGAGTCTTACATTTTTCTGTTAGACAGCAGCTGTCCAAACGGGGAACGGCAAACGCGAGGGTCACTTGAACAGTAGCTGCTCTCAGCAGTCAGCGGCAAAAGAAAAAACGACCATCTTTTCGCGCAAGGAAGAACGGAGGCAAGGCCTCCTCTCCAACCTAGTTTTCACTGGTCGATCCGCTTGTTCGCATGCGTTCTCGGCCAGGTGCACTTCCTCTTCGTCGTGGACTTTCTGGACACGGTGACCCCGTTGGACGTCTTCGTCGTCTACTTCCTCGAGGCGCGGTGGCCGGGGTTTGGGGCGCCCCGGCAGCATCCTCCGAACGGAGGGGGCTGGCCGCCCTGGCTGGGTGTTAAAACGCCCAGCCGAAGGCCGAGAGAGCCGTGAAGCCTCAACGAAAAAAAAGTGCGAGCGCGGCAACGGAGTGGATAGGTTTGCTGGATGAACGCGAGTGGGGCAGTTTTGTGGTTAGGTGTGCTAGATGAACACTGCCTTGCAAGCACACAGCGCGAATGTCCCGTTTTTCTTCTCGAGGCATGCACTGAATGGCCTTTAGCTTTGGCTTCAGTTGCTGCTTGGAGCAGTTTTTTTTGGTCAGTGACAAATAGAAACAACAAGACACACTCTAACCAAGAGACACACACACATGGGCGCAGTGTGCGCGCACTCACACGCACACACACACACACGTGGGAGACCCAGTGCACGCACTGACAGAGGATGGCAGGCTCTTCGCGCGACACGCGGGTCCTAGCCTAAGATCCTGTATTGCTTTGGAGAAGCAAACGTTGTCGAAGAAGATAAGCACCTCTTTCTCTTGCAGGTGCCTGGCATGGACATTGACGACGCCAACCTAGCGGTTGCGGTGCAAAGAGCCTTGGACGAGGCGCAGGCCAGGAGTCGACGTCGGCAGCAACGAACTAAGATCTTTCGTTCGACTTTAGCTTGCGCGAGGAGCCTCCTTGTAAGAAGCAGAAGGTGGGGCGTTTTCGATTTTTCCTCGGTAACATGCTGCTTGCTGCGACTTGTGCCCGGCGCAAGGCCACGACGGGTGTCAAGTACTGCCAAGGCTTGGAAGCTCAGTCTTGCAATTTTTTTGATCCGGAAGGAGCCAAGAGCCCAGCCAAGTAAGTTGTACCGAGGCACCGACACAGAACCATGCATCTTTGGTCCCAACGGGCAAAAGGCCCAACCGAACGGGCCTGCGCGGTGCTTGTTTTGCGACACGGTCAAACTGAACGATGCTTTTTTGCAGCCGAACAGCAGCCTGACGGTCAAAGCCCGATTCGCCCGCTTGCCCTGCAGCGCGTGGAGGACGCAGGTTTTCGACGGTGGTTGGAGGGATCTCAGCGTCCAGCGCGAGCCCTGGTCGTGGAACCAAAGCCTCCGGTGGAGACAGTGCGCCAAGTGGCAGCGCAGAAACACAAATGGGACGACAGAGCAGCGCCCTATGACCCAGACTTCGTCGCGAGCCTCCACGAGCGCGGGGCGGACACCTGGCGCGAGGCACTGGCGCGGAGGCCAGGCCTCGAACGAGACACATGGCATTTTATTTTGTTTTTTTTCCCTTGTTTTCCCCCTCCATTTTTTGCTCTGGCTCGTCATGCAATGCCGTGAGGCGCCTGTGCGCGGTGCCTCAGCGTTCAGCGGCCGAGTACCAACAGGTGCGGGTGGCGGACCGCGGGAAGTCTTTGAACATGTCCAAGCTACCTGCAGAGCGCTTAGCCCGAGGGGCCGGCGCAGAGATCCCCAACACAGACCCCTTGCCGAAGGCGAGGCAGTCACGGCAAGCCGCGTCTCTGCAATTGTGGTGTGAATACAACAGTTGGCAAATGTGCATGGAGTGCAAAGCGATCCAGCCACGGGCCCTGACCCCGGCGGGCATGGACAAGCTTCTCAGCCCTTGGTGCCCCAAGTCTGTCTGCATATTTTGCCGGGGACTACGAGCCGCGCCGCGGCCGACGATGCCGCCGGCCGCGCTCCAGAACTTGCCAGCAAGTGTCGTGGAAGCGCTCCGCCCTGCGGTCCCGAACTTCGGCCCAGTGCAGTGCTCCAAAGACCGGTTCGGCCGGGACAATGGGTATCGAGCGCACGCAGCTTTGGTGACGTTCGAGTGGTGTGCCACGGCGGTAGAGGACCGCATCCAGCAGCTCCCAGCAGCGTTGTGCACTGTGGCAAGTCAAGCGTTCGATTGGCTCCTACAAACTCCGGCGCAGAACCACAGCAGTCGGCGTATGGCAACTTTTGGAGTGCCCACCAAGGATTCCTGTTGGCCAACCCTCAAGCGGACCAAAGACAGAGGAAGCGCTGGCTGAGATTTCTGGAGACCGAAGGGCTAGAGTGCGCGCTTTGGCCGCACTTGTTTCCTCAGAGAAAGCAGTGCCTCACATGGGCCAGGCTGCAATCCAGCAGCCGTCAAAGTCGGCAAGGCGCAGCTGGCACCTTGGAACAACGTCTAGGTTTCGCCCCGGCCCCTGCAGAGCCTGTTCTGGAAGACGTCACAGGTACCAAGAGGTCGTTCATGGCACTGGTGCTGTCACCCCTCCTTGACTACAGCATGAGCTACGAGCTCCTGCATTTTGCATGGGATTTGAACCTGTGGACCACGCTGGGCTCCAAAAAAAACTTACACCTAGGGGTGCCCATGCGTCTGCTGCTGAAAGGGCACAGCTTCACTTCGGAGTATTGGAAAGACCTGCATCGAGGTTTGGTGGACCTTGCCCGCCAGAAGGGCTTTCCACCATTGTTTTCCACGCATGCACCCTTCGAGTGGAACTTCCCCAACCATTGCTTCATCGTGGACGCAATGGCGAAGGCGCGCCAAGGCGCGCAACCAACCAGATCCCACAGTGAATTGTTGAACGCTAGTCTTTTTTGATAACTACACCCAGGCGCTGTAGGCTAATAGTACCAATACATCATGGCTGCCTGTCCTTTATTCCGTGACCATGGAAAGAGTTGCTTGATAAATAAGGTTGGTCCAATATGTCTGCTGATCTTTTTCCCCTGATATAGCTACTTGTCTCCCTACTTGGCCTAGATTGTCTCCCTAGTTGTCGGCGTTGGCCTTGCCGCTGCTGTCTTGTCACCCTACTTGTCTCCCTGCTGGTCTCCCTGCTAGAACAAAACAACGGCACTCCAAGGCTTTGAAAAGCGGTTGGTCCGTCCAGCGCCACGCTAACAAAGAGTGGACTGAAGCTCGCTGACGTCGGTGCGAGGACCCCGACACAAAAACAAAGTGTTGAATGTATTTTTGGTTGCTATCAAGAGTTTTTACTGGTGCAAATATTGCGTCACCATAAAAAGGGTCGCTTGAGAAACAAGGTTGGTCCAGTGACTTTTTGACTGTTTAACGTCAGGTCGCCTGGAATACCCCATGGCGGAAGCTTTGCACCAAGCCCATGTGCTCACACAGGTTGGCCTCAACTTTGTGTCGGGGCACAACTGCCCGAAGGAGCGCAAGGACGCAGACTACGTGCACCAGCTTCTTCAACGAACACGAGAAGACGGGTCCAATGTGCCGCTTTCCACCTTTTTACGCTTGGAATTTCAAGATGGAAAACGGCGGGCCGTCAGTCAATCGTACCATGGGTCTGGCAGGGCACATGCACACCAACTTGATTTCGTTTCTCGCTCCAGACGAGAAGAAGACGTTCGAGCTCTACGGCTGGACAAATGCATGAGCGCTTCATTGGATGGATTGCCTGAACCCCTCAAGCATTTTGCAAGGGCCGCACAAGTCGACGAGCGACCGGGACGCGGGCGGTGGCCCGTGTGTGAAGAGCCAAGCCGCTGGAACCCGGTTTTGGGACAGTATGATTTCCACCATAGTGCGGCCGACAAGGCCCTTGGCTTGCGCGGGTTCTTCGCGCCGTTGCTGGAGGCCACCCGAGGGCATCAAGATGTGCAGGTGGACATGCCGGGACAAACCAACTTTGCTGCATACACGACGAAATATGCCCCAAAGTTTAGTGATTCTCTGCACGAGGAGCTGCTCAACGACGACGTCGATGGCAACAGCCTCGCGGCATCGGTCTTGTCCCGATACCATCCCTGCGTACCCGAAATGTTGCTTCAGATGTTCGGGTCCATCTTACCGCAGTGGAGCGTCACCACTTGGAGCAAAGGCCGGAAGGACTTCCGCGTTCCTGTGCCAGACGCCCCCGAAATGGCGGCGGAAGTACGGCTGTACATGGAATCCACATGGCGAGGAGAGGACATGCCCTTGCTAGAGTTTTTGAGAAAAACAAATGACCAAGGTGGCATTTCTGGTTGGGTCGTCCAAGCTTGGAAGAAATCGGGCGAAGACGTGGCGCTGGAGGTCTTTGCCAACCGTTGTCCCATGGAAGGCGAGAAGATAGTTGCTTGCACCATGGCCTCGAGGCTTCGGGATCGGTTCTACGGACAATGGCTGACCTTGAACGTTCCCTTTCGAGACCCGCGGGTTTTCCAAGTCCCGGATTTGGAACAACGAGTGCCCGCCACGGACCACTACTTGGCCATGTGCCTCGCTTGCGCTCACCCCGTCGCAGTCGCCATGTGGAGCAATCTTCAGGCAGTCGAAGAGGACATGATGTATGAAGGCCACGGCCAAGTGCATCGCAAAATGGTGCTGGACCACGTCAAGACCCAGAGCTACCTCGTCCAGCAGTATTTGCACGGTGCTCTCACGCCACCTCCGGCGCTGGCAGCGCCTCTGAGACAGATCCAACGAGCGCACCGGCTCAGCATCCAAAAGCTTTACAGTCAACAGGTGTTGTGCGGGGCGAAGACCGTGGAGGCACGTCTCAACGAAGGTGTGGCCAAGGAAGTCATGGTGGGTGACCTCTTGCTGTTGGGCGCCGCCCGTGTCGAGGTGGCGCACAAGGAGATTTACGCCAGTTTTGGCGATATGCTCGAGGCCGTGGGGTTTGAGAACGCGCTGCCGAACGCCAACACCTTCGAGGAGGCCTTGGAGACCTACCACGGTTTCCGCGGGTATGCGGCCAAAGAGGGCGTCCATGGTGTTGTTGCCTTTTGGTTGCAGGAGCCTTCTGCGGCGCCCCAAGCGCCGCTGTCGTGGAACCAAGCACAGCTCCGCTGGAAGGCTCTGATGTCCGAAGATTTGGCCCGCGCTGTGGAGGCCTACGAGGCCGCAACAGAAGGCGACTTGGATGCTGCTCGAGAAGCCTGTTGGTGGAACAACAAGATTCGCGCCCTGGAAGGCCCCCCTGGCACCGGAAAGACCACGGTCGCGAAGGCCCTAGTGCAGGAAGCAGTCGAGAGCGGAGTGAAAGTGTTGTGGACCGTATACACAGCGCAACTGGCATCTCGCATGAAAGACGAACTGGGGCCCACAGTAGATGTGGACACGTGCCATGCTGCACTGGGACTTGGCTTAGACATGATGGAGTGCCGCTACAACCTTTCATCCTATGGTTTGATCATCCTCGATGAGTTTAGCCAGCTACAAGGAGCCGACTTCATCCATTTCCTGGCGCTCTACCAGGCCATCGACCGCGCAGCCGCCGTGGGTCTATTGGGCGACCGTTGCCAAGCCGCCGGCTTTGGCGATTTGCGCGCATGGCACGTGCCAGAGTGGAAGAAAGTCGTGCATTGCACACAGTTGCACGAGCTCTATCGATGCAAAGACCCAGAGTTTCGCAAGCTTTTGAATGTGCTGAGGACTTCGAAGCCAACTGCTACGGGCCGTGCCGGCACAGTGAGCGTGCCACAGATCATGAAAGGTCGGCGGGCGTGGAAAGGGCATCGCCCGCGCATGGAAGACATCCGAAGGCACGCCCGCGCAGCTTTTTGTTTTTCAATGTGTTCCGTTAGGTTCTTGTCCCCCTCACCCAACGAAAACCGCTAGCTCGGCGAGTCGTGACACGTCGACGTCAACCTTTGTCACAAACCATCCAGACCCCACGTAGTGCACACGCAACGCAGGCTCTTGCACAAGTTCCCTGAAACGACCATGATGGCGGTGACCCGGCGTGGCACGCAGATCCTCAACACCTTGGCAGTAGAGGCTTTGTTTTCGGAGCAACAGCCATTGGTCACCCTGCAAGGGGACATAGAGGCCAACCCCGACAACTACGACGAGCATGGGGCGCTGAAAGCGGCACGGGAATGTCTACCCTTGCACTTGGTCTGCTACGCAGGTATGAAACTCTATTTGACCAAGAATGTCGATAAGGCCCGGGACTACGTGAATGGCATGCGGTGCACGGTGGAAAACTACGACCGAGCTTGCAAGGCTTTGCTGGTCGTCACAGACACGCAACACCGACTGGCGATCAGGCCCTGGACCGACGCCGCCATGTGCAAAGCGTTTTGTCCAGTGCGGCCGGGCTATGCTTCGACGGTGCTGAAGATGGCAGGCGCAGAAGTGCCACACGCAGTGCTTTGGCTGGACCAGCCGCACATTCCGGCCGCTGCGTACACAGGGATGAGTCGGGTAGCGTATGGCTCCCAGCTGCTCCTCGGAGGCAACCTGACCCCTGATCATTTCACCCCAGCGCGCCCGTGAGCGAGGCTTTTGCACAGAACACAAAAAAAATGTGGCGAGCAGCCAAAGCGACGCAAGACGCAAGTGTGGGCGCATACTTGTACTTGCATGTTGTTGGTCATCACTTTTGCTGCTGCATGGCTCCAAACAACACATGTCCACAGAGCGGTCCGCCCGCAGAGGCGCGAGAAACCGGTGAGACGAGAGACAAACCAGAAGCGGACACGTGCATGGTAGTGCTTTCCCCCCTGTCCTTGCTATTGTCCTTCGGCCAGGTGCTCGTCTTCTTCCTGGACCTTGTCTCCCTCGTGGCCCCGGTGGACGTCTTCTTTGTCTTCGAGGCGCGGTCCCCCTGGGTCTGCGACCCGATGATCCTTTCACCAGACCTCTCAGAGGACCCCAGGGGTTGAGGAGCACCTCTGAGAGGAATGACGGGGAAAGGTGACGGTCGCAGAAGCGAAACCAATCGAACTCGTTTCCAAGTTTGGAAACCTTGAAACTTGGACTTTTCAGGTTTGGAAACCTTGAGTTGCCAGGTTTGGAAACCTTGAAACTTGGAGTTTCCAGGTTTGGAAACCTTGAGTTGCCAGGTTTGGAAACCTTGAAACTTGGAGTTTCCAGGTTTGGAAACCTTGAAACCTTGAGTTTCCAGGTTTGGAAACCTTGAAACCTGGAGTTTCCAGGTTTGG